CCTGCTGAAATTAAGATAAAGATATGAATTCAGAACAAATAATGTTTGTTACAAAATTTATTACATAAATAACACAAGCAAGCATTTGTCTTCATTACTGGCCAATCGATTCACCACGTCACTGGAGCTTTCTTAAAGCATCTATACCACATTACTGCTAAATTAGTTCTAGCTCACTTTATGGATTATTTAAATTTTAGCAAAATTGTTTCTACAAGCAATTTTATTAAAATTTAAGCAACTTATAAAATAAATTAAAGTTAATTTAACAATAATGTAACGCAGGAGGTTGCTTATAAGCAACTCTTAGGATGCGTCAGAAGTGATCGAGAACCACAAAGTTTCTCACAAATAACAGTAGCTACTACCTACTGCCCACTGCCTACTATCTATTTATCCAATAATTCACCTTCTTAAACCAACATAAGACCTGCTAATATAAAAAATATATCTCAACAATTAACAATTAACATCACATCACATGTGAAAATATATATAAAAAAACACAAAATATTAAAATCTAATTTAAAATAATCCAAGTAAAATAAATTTGATATCATATATAAAAAATTAAATTAATATCTTTATCACATTGATATGAAGGAGATAATATTATAAAATAATTAATAAAAAAGATATTTGTCTTAAATTATAAAAATTAAAGAAAATAAGTATATGAGATTAAAAAAGTATTTTAAATTATAAAAACTAATAAATAAAGTAAGTAAAATTATAAAGATAAAAAATATATTTTAACGTGTATTCTTTTTACTGCTTCTCAATAAACATAATTACTCCATTAATTGAAGGTATGTTAGCTGACACCATGAATTCTTAAAAGGATAAGAAAAGAGTTATTTATCTAAACATCTAATAAACTTTGACTATTTTTGTTTACTAAACTTTGACTGTTTAAAGTCTTAATAATTAAGCCTATGCATGAATACGTTTTATAATAATAATTCAGCATACTGTTGGCATATTTAAGTCGAAAGACTTAAAATTTATTATTTGTTCTTTACTTTTTAAAGAATTTATAATTGAGAATCTTAATTTTTTTATGTTTAATTATTATTAAAAATAATATATTTTTTTTAAAATGTGATTTCTTGAAAATATTTTTTATATAAATTTTTCACCAAATTATTTTCATAAAATACGTAAGAATCTAACATTTTTTATTTAAAAGAAATGTTTTAATGTGATAAAAAATATTAGGTTACTAGTTAATGCCATAAAAAGAATTTAATTTCATGAAACATTTACAAACATTCTTAAAAATATTTATGATCAATTAAATAAATTTAATCATAATTCTTAAGATTTGTAATTTTTAGTGACCATGATTTTTGGACATGAATTTTTTTTTTCTAACAACCATTTTCTAAAATTAAAGTTTAAAATAGAAACTTTAAAATAAATTAAAAATTATATAATTTTAATTTTAAAACTTTTTCAATTAGTTTTAGATGAGAGATAGGAAGGATAAAGTCTGTAATTTGTTTTAAAAATCTACTTCACTAAACTTTTTTTAATGCTTCTTTCCTCCTTTTACAAGAAATAAGCAATTTAATTTCTTAATAGATTCTTTTCAAGTATATATTTAACCTAATTTTTCTTTTAAGAAGAAGAAAAAAGAACTAGAAAAAAAAAAGTTGGCTGAAATACTAGCTTTAATATTTATGTTTTTTATTTAAAAAAGTCCTTTATGTATTTTAAGAAAATAAGGCGATTTATATGTAGGGTTTAGGGTTCAGAAACTATAGTAAAACAAATATTACCTGTGATATCAAACAGAGAACATGTATGCTGCCCAAACTTAGCTTGGAGCACTTTACAATATAAGTCCTCTTTATAATAACTGAGAATACTTGAATGTAAAGTTTAAATTAAAAAAAAAAAAAAAAAAAGCACCTTATTAATAGCAATACATGTCTTGCATTGCAAGGAAAGGTGGTGAGAGAGCATGGATACATATGGCAACAGTGCAGGCATTGAAGATAGCAGTCAAAAAGCGAAGATGAAAACAATGAAAAGGAAACTGGCTAAATCCTTCCCTGTCTAAGTTGACCACTTTTTGTTTTAATGTATCTTGCATTGCATTTACATGCACACTTATAATTAAGTTGGGGAAGCACCATGCATCACCAAAGTTTTTTTTTTCTTTTCTTTTTTTCTTTTTAATCACACACCCTTTGAAACCCTGTGTGTGACTGCTATTTTTCTTCCCCAAAGCAAAGCCAAAGACTCTTGTCTTTCCCTTCCTGCTTTTACTACCATTTTTTCTTTGTCTTTACTCCACCATATAAAAGACCCTGGCTTTAATTTCTTCTTCTTTTTTTTTTTTCTCTCTAAATTATCTTGTGAATTTTGTGCTTTGGATTTGGGTTGGTACGCCTCTTTAGGCATCTTAGATTCTTAAATCAGTTTTATTTGAACTTAAGTGACAAGTTTTAGAGTAGGTTTATCTAGTAATTAAGAGTTGGGTATCCATATTTTTATTTCATTTTGGGACTTTTTCAAAAATTTTGTTTATCAAAATTACAATAATAATATAAAAATTTGAATTTAAGATCCAAAATTTCCAATCTAACATAAGTACATAAGCTTGACGAAGGAGGAGAGAGGACACGGTCAACAGTGTATTCTTGTTTCGTGGGTCAAACAATCAGTTTTTGGTCATCAAAACAAAACAATCTAGTTCTTGCATATTCGGCTATGTTGGCCACTTGGGCCTTCAAGGAAACATGTCTCCTTTAAACTCAGCCCATCATTTTAAACGAACTGAAAGAAATGGGAATTCAGGCCCAGAATGAAGAGCATAAGAGATAGAAAAAGCTAGAAGAAACTTTATTCTTATTGAGTGAAAATTACAAATTCTCAATATCATTATTTAACGATTCATGCATGAGAAAATTTATAGTTTTTGATTAATGACGAATGGTGCTTTCTGCATGATTCAAAAACGGTTTTGATTTTGATTCATATGGAATAAGAAAAAAATATACTAAGGTTTTGAAAAAATAAATGAAATGGAAAAGATATATGATTTACGTAATAATTAGAAAAGGAGATATAAAATAAAAAAAATAATATAAGAAAAAGTGATTGGCATGAAGTGAAGTGGAAGAATTCCGTTATTTATTCGTAACCACTCTTCCGAGGTTGAGGCTGGGACTGAACAATTAAATTATAAATAGGAAGGGTTTGAGTTTGCGATCGTTTCTGAATTCTGAGTTCCATTCTCTCAAGCCACATCCATGGCGTCAGACAAAATAGAAGAGAAGTTCCACGTCGACCACAACTCCGATTCCGATTCTTATTCCAGTTCCGACGACGACCACACCACCGGATCCAACGTTTACCGCCTCTTCGGCCGCGATCAGCCCGTCCATAAGGTCCTGGGCGGTGGAAAACGTAATTCACATCTTCAATCTTCAATCTCCTTAATTATCTTTATTTAATTCTTCAATGCCTGTTATCTATATTAATTACAATCACATGCAATAATGTACGTAGATTTCGATCCAAAACTAGGTCTAGGACTTTTACGTCTGAAATTAAGAAGCTAGAAATATGGAGCATATATTACAATGATTAAAGGCAGGAACCAGGAACTAACATTGCCTGGTGACTTAATTAGGTTTATTATAAAAACACAAGATTTTGCTTTATTCTCTTGTAGAAGAAGGCTATTATCTTCATCGTTCAATATTTATATGAAACCTACTCTGGACACAGCTGAAATGGGAAAGGGATTTGGAAATTATCTATCGACTTTGGTGGTAATTAAATACTGATGAATGATGATGTTGCATGTGTCCCTTGCAGCTGCTGATATTTTGCTATGGAGGAACAAGAGAAGCACCGGAATTGTACTTGGTGCTGGCACTGCCTTTTGGGTTTTCTTTGAGTTGATGGAGTACCACCTCATAACTTTTCTTTGCCATTTAATGATTCTCTCTCTGGCCGCACTTTTCTTGTGGTCCAATGCATCTGTCTTTATCCACAAGTAAGCCATTGCAAATTTTATACTCTTTGTCTTTGCTATATATCTCTTACAATTCATTAATAATTAAATTGTCCTATTTTATATCTTAATTTCTGCACTTCCCTTTGGTTTCACTTTTTCTCTGCTAGGTCTCCACTGCAAATCCCGCATATAGCAATTCCTGAGGACTGCTTTGTCGAGGCTGCTTCCGCTTTAAGAACTGAAATTAACCGAGCCTTAGTTATTTTGCGGGAAATCGGAACTGGGCGAGATTTAAAGAAGTTCCTTAGCGTACGTTTATTCCTCCCTTCATCCTTATAGTAACAGATTTCCTTGGATTTTGTCAGAAATTGAGGTTCAACTGAAATTCACATCCATTCATGTCATATGTTCAATTTTTAATTTTTCATCATGCTTTACATAGTCTCGTTTTTTGTCTTGTGACCAGATTATTGCTGTATTGTGGGTTATCTCGGTTATTGGGAGTTGGTTCAACTTCTTGACCTTGTTTTACCTATGTAAGACTTCGTACATTATATTACTTCTAATATCGTTTGCTTATCAAGACCTTTTTAATGGTATCCATATATTCTCCTATCCTAACACCGACTCTATTTTGTCTGATAGTCTTTTTGTCGCTGTTCACATTGCCACTGGTGTATGAGAAATATGAAGACCAGGTTGATGCAATAGGTGAGAAGGCGATGATTGAGATAAAAAAGCAGTATGCAGTGTTTGATGCTAAGGTTTTGAGCCAGATACCAATAGCGGGCATGAAAAAGGATTAGAATACATCATCTATCAGGTCTTGTTCAGATGTCAAGTTAATTTCTTACTGCATCTCCCCCTTCCTCTTTTAATTAATTGGGTGAAATATAGTTTGAGTAATAAAAGTCCATCTAGTCCCGGCTTTACTTTTGAGGATTATCTTGGATTTTTTATGAGTAGCCTTAAATTAAATGTCAAAACATCACATTGACTTGATGAACGTGCATCCCATGTCATCCAAGGATGTGCATCCCAAGTTCTATTGTCGCTTTTCTGCTTTTAATTCTTCAATTGCTTCGCCAATACCACAAATTCCTTACTTGGAATTTTGTTATCGATTCCAAGCTGGAAATCCATGACAATAAAATTTAAATATACTATGATGAATTTGACCGAATCAAAGTGTCTGTCGGTTGTTTAATGGGTCTGCCGAAAAAAGATGAAAAAAAAAAACTAAAGAAATATTTAAAAGTGTGTTTTACAATGTATTGAGAAGTTGTTTCAAAAAAAGTTGGATAAAAATAAATTTATTTGATATAAGAACTTATTTTAGAAGTTTATAGTTTATTTAGATAGTTCTAATTGAAGTAGTTTATATTTATAATCTCTTAGATTTTTTTTCTTTTTTTGAGGAAAATTATTCTAAGTAATTTACTTTAAATTCTTTATTATTATTTTAATTTATAAATTATTTTGATTACATGTTATTCTCTCACTCTCATTATCAAATAAAAAAATACAAAATTTTATATTAATCAACAACTTTAATCAACTAATTTTACCAACTTCAAACTTATAACTTCCATGTTTTTAGTTTGTTTATGAGTTAATTTTTACTAAATACATCCTTAATATTGAGATGCATTCGCGTTATCCTTCTTCCTTGATAGGAATTATTTAGTGTGTTTGAGGAAAATTATTTTTCAAATATTAGTTACTTTTGTATGAAAAAATATTATTTCTCAAATAATTTTTTTTGGTGAATAAATAAATTAATTGCTTGAAACATCAATTTAACTTTATAAATATTTTTTTTTAAAAAAAGTTGTTTTTATGAATCTAATAATCTAAAGCAAATGATTATCTTTTGATGGATTTTTTTATCTTAAATTTAATTTAGACTTAAATGTGTTTTTAATCTTTTAAGTATAGTAATTATGTAATTTTAGTTCCTTAAATTTTAATTGACTAATTTTAACTTCTCAAGTATTATAGTCATGCAATGTTAGTCTCAACTTTTGTATTAATTTTTACAAATACGGTTTGATATAAGAGATAATTTTTTATGTATAAAAATTATAACAAATATATTAATTTTTTTAATGTTGAAAATAAATTTAAAATTAATTAAAAAGTTATAACTAAAACTTAATTTACTATCTTAATATAGGATACTAATATATCAATTAGATATAAACTTATTTACTAATAATTAAATAAAAATAATTGATTGTACTTATTTTACAATTTAGTCATAAATTTGAATTTCACGAGATGACGTTCCTGAATTAAGAAGATTTCATAGGATAATTAGATTAATAATCAAAAGTCAGATTGTATATGAGAAAAAAACTAAAATAACTCATATTATGTCATTAAAACCATTTTTTATGGTTTCACAAAAAAAAAAAACAAAACATTTTTATGAGTATCAAGTTTTAATTTATCTGTTAACATTCTTTACTAATTACTATTCCAGAATTTCTTATAATTAAGGAGATTGTGAAGGAATGTTTATGGATAAAGATTAAAACTTATACGGATGAATACGACATAAAACATTATTTTGTTTTGATTTTTCACGTATCAGACATATAAAATTATTTTCCACAAGTTCACAAATAAATAATAAACTATTATTTTAGACTGTATAATGTACATATTAAATATTTATTATACATAACTAAAATTTAAAATGAATTATATACAAGTAAATATTGTATTTGAATATATAAATTATATTTAAAATTATATAATAGATACTTTTAAACATATAAATTATATTTTAAATTTATAATAAATAATTTACATTGTAATATAATATTTTTATTTATTGATAATTTATTTTAAAATATTAAAATTTAATTCATAAATAATTATGATAAATAAAAATTAAATTAAATAACAAGTTAAAAAAATTTCTAAAATTCTTCTCATCAAACAAAAGTTCCTGTAAGATAAAGATTCATATTTAATATATAAGACTTGATTTCAAATTCTTAAAATTAAGTTATTAAAATTTTAAAAAATAAAGAACTTAATTAAAAAAAAAGTTTAGAAACCTAAATAAAATTATTATAATAAAGTTCTACAAGAAAGGTTTTGAAAGTATGGGCTTAGTTTCACTTTCAAGAGTCTCTCTCAAATGTCAAATCCCATTTCCCCACTTTTCTTCGGCTGACCATAATAGATGATGCACAAGGTATACGAGAAGAAAGGACAAGAGTGTGAAATTTTTTTTAAAAAAGGAAAATTCTCCGTCCTCCGAACTCGACCTCCGAGATATATTCCGAATGTATAAAAACTCAATTTAAATTATAAAATATTAAAACTATTATTTTTAATTTCTATAATTTTTTAAAATTTTATTTTAATTTTTTATGTTATCAATAATATATTTAAAAATAATAGATTGAGACGATTATGTAATATCAAGTAAGTTTAATATGATATTTTTAATAATATAAATATTAATAAATAAATTTTATACGATAATATTTATCAGATTTTTTAACAAAATTTGAATATAAAATTAAAATAAAATTTTTTAAAATTATAAAAATAAAAAATAATAGTTTTAAATTTGAAGGATTAAAAATAAATTTTTAAGAGACTAAAAATATATTTAATTTAAGAGACTAAAAATATATTTAAATCTTATTATTTTTAAAATTGAAGAAAAATAAAATTTTCATAAAAATAAAATATTGTATTTAATTCAAAAATCAAAGATAAATTGTGAATTAACTTTTATTTTTTTCTTCTTTTTCACTTTAACTAATGATATTATTCTAAGGGAGGTGAATGATTTTCAAATATCAAATATGTGTGTCTCATTTAATCATATCTAAGAAAAGTGAGTTCAATTTTTCTTTAAAATAAAAGGGTGATTATATTATATATAATAAAAATAATAGAAAAATTACCTTATCCTGAAATAGAAACTACCTTTATTTTAATTATATATAATTTTAAAAAAACAAACTTTCACCACATTTGACAATAATTCATCTTATTATTACTATCACCACTACTAGTAAAACACATCATCACCACCACCGGCACTTAATCATATTTTTTAATATTCATTTTATTCTTAATAACTACACATTCAAATAAATGTAAAAAAAAAAAAATCATTAGAAAAATTGTTATGCTTTTTTTTTTAGACTATAAAGATCCTTTACTAGAAGAATCATATTCGAAAAAGATAATATCACGACAAAGTTTTTATTTATTTTATCTTTATTTTTTCCATAGAAAACAAATTTCTCATAACACCTGTATCGCCAACATCAAACTTGTGTCGTTCTTTTAACAGAGACGCAACGTGTTTTTTTCCCTACTGATATACATAGAGCGATTAAACTGATTATAAAAAAAAAGTGATTATTCGTCAATAACTATGGCAGTGTAGCCATTATATACTTAATTTTCTTATATGCTTGGGATATGCCCATAACCTAGAAATTGGTCCTTCTTCTGAATCACTGTCACTGTCTGAGGAAGATGTTATGGATATAGAATCATCTAGAAGATATTCCACAACCTGAAAATAGGAGGCCTACACAGTTAGTGAGTTCATTTACTTCGGTAAATTATGTTGAACGCTAGCTGGAAATAAACAAAAACGCAATTTAGAGTGAAAAAAAGTAAGCTTTGATCTTCAAATAACAATACAAATGGATTTTCAACATTCCCAAGAATGTACTCGAACAAATTTGAGAGGGGAGTAAACTACTTTCTGGCAACGGGACAATTTACCAGAAATCACCTAAAAACATTAATACTCATCAAAATTAATCCAGACGTACAATTTATGCAAAATTAACTTATTAGATTCAACTTATCTAGTTCATTAACCAAACTCAATGAGCTAATTAACTGGTCAAGTCAAATTCATTTTGCGTAGTTTGGTTAATTTTCAGTCCTAACAGTTGGTGTTAGATTGCTACAGGATTCACCGGTTCTAAATAGGTGAAATGTAGTGAGGCACTTCAAGATAATAAGTGAGAGCTGAATTTCTATGATGAATGACCATGGCTGATACAAAGTGGCCAAGTACAGTACAGAACATACCTGGAATGCTGTTACAGGCTTGATATCTTGAATTTCAGATATTCCAGAGTGTACATTGGGGCATTTTGCGTTATTTAGCCAAACTACTGATTTGCAGTGTCCACAATATCCCCGGTTGGTTGTTAATTTTCTTGATAATGCTCCTATATCAAAATCAACCAAGTAAGACAGAAGAAAAATTGAATGTGCAAATATGCATACATTTGTGTTTCTATATCTGTGATAGAGAAAGAGTAACTCCTTTTTGTAGTCATAGCATAAAAATTTAACTGACAAATAAAATGTAATTCAACGTTCCTGACAGTTTCTAAAGCTGTAATTTGGTTCCTAAAACACTTGAAATGAAGAATAAACTATTAGTTCCATTGCCCCATGCTTTGGGAAATGAAAACAATATTATTGGAAAAATTCTAATTTATAGCATCACAATATAATCAGATAATGAATTAAATGTATAGGCCAGCAATTACATCTCTATATATCGACTTCAACACTACTAGGAACCTAATGTCAATCAAAGTAAAAGATGATACATGTACATAACAGTTTCCCAGTCCCAGTATATACTTTTATCCCATTAGTTGACTGAGAACACACTGGATGTGAAAAGAGAAACGAAGTTTAACTACATTTCCTCAACATTCAGCTTACCAGTGTATGCTCCTTTAACAGCCTCTTTCCAGTTGGCAATGACTTTAGTATTATCTATAGGCTCATGCAAAAGCCTATCATTTCTGCTTTCAACCAGTTTCACAGGCTGCTGTTTAGCTCCATTACCGTACAGTGAAACATACTGCATCTCCCACAGTTGGTTATCATTTGCAGCTATGTTCCATGACCTAAATATGCAATGCCCTTGAGTCACCAGGTAATTGATACTGATAATGACAAATTTAATGAACAATAACATTCCAATGTAAAAAAACATATGACAACTGTTTGTATTTCACATCCTCAAATGTGGGCTAAAATGATCAATTGTTGATATATATATAAGAAGAAAAGCATTACCCGCAGACTAGCCCCGCTGAGACAAAAGATTTCATATCAAGAAAACTGAAAATGTGCACAAGAATATCTTGTGGAAGTTGCAATGAGCCTGCAACACGGGAAAAAGAATCTTCTTAAACAAGATTATTTTGCTTTCATTAATATAACAAAGCCATTTCTTATTCTTATATATAATCTGACCTTTCTCTACCTGGTGAGCTTTACAGCGTCTCTTATGAACAACCATGGCACGCTTAAATTCTTTTACAGCCACATTCCTTTTCTGCTTCGGCAGTGCTGCTTCTACACTCTGAAGTAGGATGTGGACTGCTGAAACAGCACTCTGAGTCTGTATTCTAAAATTAAAAGCATAAGAAAAAAAATGAGGCAAAGCGGTCCATAAAGACAGCAGTTACATGCTCAATTACTAATTGACTTAAATATGTTTTTTAAGTCTTTTGATATGAAAAAATTAGTTTTATCTCTCAAATTTAAAATTGATTTTTTTAGTCCTATAATTTGAAAATTAAAATATCTTATTTTAGTTTTTTTTTCTTTCACAAATATCATTAGTGAATATGTCAAATAAAACTCACTTAATACTAAATTTCTGATACAAAATTCACCTATTGTTATAAAAAAAAAATATTAAATCTAACTAAATAACTTTCTCAATCTATCACTATCTATAAAATACACAGTTCTTCCATTAGCATACGAAAATTCTCTAACACAGCCTTCAATTCTGATTCTAACATAAGTGAAAGCAGGATATAGTTGTAATTAGCAATTTGAGACATGTGAAAAAAACTCCAATCGCTATAAAAGATGAATAGAACTTCTGTTGGAACAATAATAATCATACATGATAGCATTTATGAGAATTGGAAATAGTTATATCATGAATTTGATTAACGAGAAAAGAGAAAAAGAAAAAAGCGTACTCTGGGAGGAGACGGAAGGCGGAGAGGGTGTCTTGGAAGACGATGGATTGCAAATATTTGGTAAATTGATGAAAAGCTTCCCTCAGAATAAAGCTTAGCTCTTGGCACGCAATTGGGTATCTATAGGGTTTTGGTAGAGACTCTCTTAAGCCAAGTTTTTCGTATCTCTCTAATGGGTCTGACATATTTTCAATTCAATTCAACACTCTCATTCTCTTCTCTTTACATTTATTCACAAACTTAACATTCGAATGGATTTGGGAGAAACCGCCTTCAACACCACCCTACCCTAAAACCTAACATTATCTCAAAAATCAAATCACCGCTTATGATATTTAGATACTTCAACATTCTAATCTCAATCTTGTTATTGTAATTTGTACGGCTAACATATTTATACACAAGAAAAGAGGCAATTTTTTTTTTTCAATATATATGTATGTATTAATTATAAAACTATTATTTTAGCACATACATTTTGTATCCTAAATGTTTAATGTACATAACTAAAAAAAACTAAAATTTATATATATATATATATATATATCACTTCCTATAATTTTTAAATAAGTTATAAGGCCTCTTAAGTGATCTATAACAACGTCTATATACATATCTTTAGATTGCATAATCTTACTTACAGAATTAACCGCAAAAAGTATATCATACCAAATATTCATTCCCAATAAAAATTCAAAATTCTCCATCTCATAAGTCGCTAAATACATGACTTCACTCTTTATCTTAGGATCTTCAAAATTCTCCTTTATAGAAGGGTTTGTCAATGCAATATCATGCAAGAAGTGCAGTACAATGGATTGTCAATGGTGATAACTAAGAAAATGTGTTGATGTTATTGAACCAGCACCCAGAATTACACTAACTTAGTAGTTTAAAGGATCTTACAAAATAGGAATCAACCAAGAAAAAAGACAGAGTAGGACCGTATTGCTTCCAATCAAGCCCTTAAATTACACTAGAAGAAGGAATTGAGAATGAGAATGGAGAGATGATGAGATTATTTTATGGTATTTGTCTAAGGGGATGTTTTATAAGAATTATTTTTATCAGAGGAGCATAATATAATTTTATTCATGAGGTCTCTATTTATAGAGAAGATTTGTTACACAAAATCAAATATTGATATTATCTTATTCTAAAAACCAGGAAACAAATCCTAAAATAATCAAAACAGATTAAATCTAAATATTTAAAATATAAATAAAATATTCTTATCAAAAACTAATTTATTCTCCTAAAGATATTTAGACATATTCCCGACAAGAGAGAATGAGAAAGAGATAGACTAGAGAGGAAATAAAGAAGTTGAAAATCTGTCATCTGTAAAAGATAAAAGTAAGTAGTAGTGACTTTTCATTTACAAAAACTAATAAATAGGTTGTGATCTTTTAAGTAATTATAATAATATAAAAAATATAAGATATGTGTCTTATAAAATATTGGGTCTTATCTCAAATATTATTAGTTTTTAAAAAATATGTTATATAAATAATACTACTATTAAAAGAATTTGGAAACCTTATAAGTTTGGGGGTTCTAAGCATTAACCTTAATTGCCTTATTGAATATCTGGCCTGACGATTTGAGATATCATTTTAATTTTATTAGATTTGACTTGGTGAGGATGAGTTATACTTTTTTTATCACATTAAAAGAAAATATTTCATTTTTATAAATTTATTTGAGTATTATTATAATTAAAAAGTTATGCATTCACTTAATAGTAATATAATATTTATATAAATTTTACCATGGTGTTTTTCAGTGTTGTTTTTTTTTTTGGTCAGCCCAGTACCAAAACGCTATAGCCTGATGGTATATAGCCGGGTGACTGTTAATTTGTTTTTTTTAATGTAAACATAAAAATGTGTTTTATACATAATTGCACAAATAATGCTAAAAAATTGAAATTTTATTAAATTTGATAGTATTTAGAGATTATACAGTTACGTAAATTTTAACATTGTGATTTTTGGATTTATTCATTCAATTGGAAATATTCATTACTCGGATTGCTTGTGATAGATGTTGTAAAATTTGTATAACAGTTAGGATATATCAATTATTTTTGCAATATCATGCAAGAAGTGCAGTACAATGGATTGTCAATGGTGATAACTAAGAAAATGTGTTGATGTTATTGAACCAGCACCCAGAATTACACTAACTTAGTAGTTTAAAGGATCTTACAAAATAGGAATCAACCAAGAAAAAAGACAGAGTAGGACCGTATTGCTTCCAATCAAGCCCTTAAATTACACTAGAAGAATATTATTTTTAGTTGATTATTTTTTAAAAAATATAAAAATTTTACTTTGTAAATAAATATGATAAATAAATTTTTTAAATTAAATAAAAATTAAATTTTAAAAAAACCTTCATAAAAATTTCCATAAAAGATTAGTCTTTAAAAAAAAACTCTTTCATGAATTAGTGTTCAACATCACAAATTCACAATTATTATCATAAAATAATCTTGGAACTTTCATAGTTGACACTGTGAAATGACACCTCTAAAATATGTATTTTACACTTTTCACTATGATCACAAATATAAAATGTGTATGAAAATTTCACTAACAACAATTAACACCTCAATGAACCAAATTGTTATTTATGTAAGTTTTATTTATTTATAATATAAAATTTAAGTTATTATGTATTATGTTGACTCATTAATGTAAAATGTATGTAAAACATTGTCATATAAACAAAAAAATGTTTACGTATTTTTTTTTTCGTTTCTAAAGTATCACTGCTGATAGCAGTGACTAATCTCTTCGTTACGTTGAAGATACCTCAAAAGATGGGATAATTAGTTCCAAGATTTAACAAGACTACATACACAAGACAAGATTTAAATTCATGACCTTACTTAAGCATAGATCAACCCCTACTGCTAAACCACACGCTTGAGATTATGTATTTTTTTATATTGCCTTCTTTATTCTAATATATTTATATAGTTACAAAATTTAAATATTTGAATTACCTTTTTCAACAAAATCTTCCATGGAGCATATTTATAGCTTCTCCACTGCGATAATTACACTTTATCATTTATGTAAGGGAGTTGCTACGGTACCCTCAAAGATGGAAGGGTTTCAATACATTTTTCTTTGTAAATTCATAAACTTTTTTTAAAAAAAATTAATTTAATTATAAAATAAATAATCTAAATTATACTTATAAAATAAAAAGTAAGATAAAATTATAGAGATTAAAATTATAAGTTTTCAATAATATTATAAAATATTAAAGAAAAAGAAAAAATTAATAAATAGTAGAAATAAAAAGTTATTAAAATTACAATATAGAAATTCAAAAATTTAAGATAAAAAGACAAAAAATATACTTAAAAAATTATTAAAATTAAAATATAAAAATTCAAAAATTTTAAGTGAAAAGATAAAAATATACTTAAAAAATTATTAAAATTAAACTATTTAAATATATAATAATATTATTACAAATAAATTAGAATATATAAAATAAAAATAAAATGACTAAATAATTTAAAAATTGAAAGGATAAAATATTATAAATATTATTTAAATAAATTACTAAAAATATAAAATATAAAAAACTGTACCGGTACCCTCTCAAATAAGATGGGTACCATAGAATTTCTCTTTATGTAATCCCTCACCTACCCACCTTCTCTATGCCCATCCCCAAATCTTTTAAATTTTCACCAATCATGACTTTTTTGTTGAAGTTAAAAACTGGGAGGATCACTGTTTTGCATATGTTGTCTCTTGCCACCTCCTCACCCCCTAAATCCACAGTAATAACTTCTTTGTTAAAGCTAAAATCGCAAATGGTCACACCTCTATCTTGTGCGTCAGCTACACACGATGACCCCTCTTCCATTGCCTTTACCATCCCTCATCACCTCCCCACTTCGACAATTACTCCTCTATTGATTTTTTTTTATGATTTGTTTTAAAATTTTCTATAGAATTAAATGTGATCGAAAATTAATGAATTCTTGAAATTTTTATAAGACTTGTTTTTTTTCATCTATTTCTTCAAAACATGTATTTTCACAATCTTTTATTTTCTTCTATTCTTTTATTGCATCATTTTTTTTATAAAAAATTTCTAAAAAAGTTAAGACACTCAACCTGCATTTACGTGAGAATTTACAGTTGTGATTAAGTATAATCATGAAATTTTCAACTATACATAATTCATGAAATTTCAAATTGAGAGTAATTTTTTTTTATTTTTCTAAAGAAAAATTAAATGTGATTGGAAGTTAATGAATACTTAAAATTCCTACCAAACTTATTTTTTCATATTTTTCATCAAAATATGTATATTTCACAAATTTTTATATTTTTTTTCTTTTATTATCTTCTTCCGACACTCATTTTTTTAATTCTCTTTCTTTAAAGAGTTAAGATATGTATTTTTTATTTAAATTTTTAGTTAATTAAAAGTTAAATTTTTACAAAATTATAAGACGTGTTATAAGATTATTATTTTCATTAACTAGGTATATAACAATTTGTGTTTATCATAATTATTTATGAATTAAATATTGATATTTTAAAATAAATTAATAATAAATAAAAATAATTTTATGCTATAATATAAATTATATCATAAATTTAAAATATAGTCTATATGTTAAAAAATTATATATTTATATAAATTTTAAATATAATTTATATATTCAAATAATATATATATATATACGAATAACATAATATATACGTGAATAATAACTTTATATATTATAAGTTAATTTTATAGAGTTGAATTAAACTTATATATATATATATATATATTATGAGCAACTAAGTTAATGATACAAAATTTGTAAGACAGTTATGATATTTATTTATTTTGAAAAAAGATAAATGAGCAAAGTTGACAACAAATATGATTGTAGAGGACCAAATAAGGGATTTTATTTAGATTCGATTTTTTGTTAACAGACTTGATATTTATTTGTTGGGTCAAAGAGAAACTTGAAGTTAAAGTGCAATTGAGTTGGCTGATTAGAATATGGGCCGAACTTTCTAGTTTCGTTTGGTTGAAGATGAGCCTAGTCTTTGTTTGGTTATTTATGTTTGCTCCTTCATCAATAGAACGTCTCTTTTATTCTTTGTGGGCTATTGTTAAACTTTAATTTTGAGTTGTTGATCTATTTAATGAACAGAGTGTTTAGTTTCTCAATTGATGCTAAAATAATAAAAATAAAGGAAGGAAGGAAAATGAAATTAGGAAGATTAAATAAAAGAACGTTTTAGAAATAGTTTAATGAGTCATGCATCATTAGTGTAAAGATTTTTACACTATCAACTAATAAAAAATATTATTGATATAATTTTTAAGA